CAAGAAAGATAGCGGGGGCAAAGTCCAGCTCACCAAACGCCATGACTGGGAAAGGGGAGGGGGTAATGTTTGTCTGGCTCTTCAGACCCGACGACCATCCGGGGGGGGGGGGACAAGGAAGATTAAAGGGTCAAAGTCCAGCTCATCAAACACCATGAACAGGGAAAGTGGAGGGGGTAATGTTTGTCTGCCCCAAGTGCCCTATATACTACTCTTCTTGTTATAATCAATCAACCTGGATGAATCAATCCTTAAATAAAAAATTTCAATCTCAAGAATTTAAAGAAATACAAGAAGAGAGTATGCGTACAATCGGAAATAAGAGGTTTTAAAATTGAAAGCTTTTCAATTCGATCGAAACAAAATTGGTTGTGCGACATGAGTGCGGTTCAGTTCCGTCAAGTTTTAGAAAATATGTAGGTTACTTTACAGCCGCTAGGATGGTTCGTATCATCAAGAAACTGTGGGTGGCAACCTTTTCTTAACTAAAGTTGCCTTGGGACAACGCCAAATTGAGCAAATTTGATAAAGCTTAGCTAATCCCATGAGTTTACGGCGGTTGCCTTGCATTTCCTTCAATGTTTCATCCCATGTATTGGCACCGCTGATTGTTTTTGGCGCCAAACTGAAATATCCATTATAGAATGTTTTATCTCCAACATAGCTCTTTACCCAAACACTGCATCTGTTATCGATTGTTATAATTGCCAAAACTAAAATGTTTCATATCTAGTTTATAATGTAACTCTTCCTTGCCCAAAGTAACTTCAGAGCAATGCAAACTTTACAATTTTGTTTTTGCTGAGCAATATAATACCGTGAGTTCGCACAGTATTATTGCTGATCTGTTTTTGTTCTTGTATTAGAAACACTTATTTATTTGGCGTCAATCTAAACCCCCCATCACTAAACTCATGGGATTTCCCGCTAACATTTTAATAAATTTCTAAAGTTTGTCTTCCTCTAAGACAACATTAGGCCATAAAGGATTAAAACATTCAGATCTAAAAATGTGGAAATTATTAAAAGGATTGAAATCATTATAACATACGATAAGTCTTCACCGTCACGGCCAGGTGGAAACTAAACTTGCAAAGACGACTTAGCCCACCAACAGGTATTTCAAGTTCTAGGGCGAAGTCTGGCTGGTCGACTTAGATCACTAGATGAGGTTGAGATAGGAAGTTGATGTCCGAGTGGATCGAGGTCACGATAACTCAAGTGGTAGAGCAGCGGCGTTTCTAGCCGAAGATCGTGGGTTCGAATCCCGCTCGTGCCATTAACTTTTTTTCATCTCAACTAAAAAACTTAATTAATTGTCATGTATTAATTGGTCAAGCGGACCACGAAAGTAGTGAATTAGATCACTAGGAAACTATGACGTGTCAAAATCCATGCTTTGCTTAGCGAATAGCGGCAAGCCTAAAAATCTAGAATGTTATGTAATATGTTTGATGTAACTCAATATTATAATTAAAATTTTCTCTATACTTGATGATTATTTGGAGATGTGTCATTACACAGAAAACAAACACTTTGAGTCCTGAAGATAATCTCAATAAAGACTGAAACGTTGGCACTATAAAGAAAATGTTTTTCTAAAACATACGTCACACCAGACCGCATCTCACTATCTCCAAATAATGATTAACTAACGGTCACTAAACACCACACATTTTGTACTTTATTTTTAATGCTATTGCAACCGGTCACCTAAAGAGAATAAAGAAATAAATTGGTTTAATGCATTTGATTGCCAATTATTATTAGTTTTAGTTTTAATAATATGATCTTTATCTATCTGAATTTCTAATATGAGATAGTGCCATGATTTGCTTAAATGGTATCTCTAGATAGCTAAAATCGCCAGTTATTTAGACTGGGGTCGGATGTTGAAAGCCTCTCCGTCAATAATTCGGTGCTTATATTAAATAGCGACCATCGACAACGGTTGCCAACTTGCAAATCTACTCCTCCGCCCATATGGGAAACACGAGTTGGATCAATTCAATTTCCGCCCAGCATAATATAAACGTTTCTATCTCTGTCTGATGGAGCGAATTCGATTATTACACCCGCTTAAATTCCGTGCTGGGTGGAACGAAACGACGTCCTCGCCAGGGATTTGTGAGTTTGACTCCACAAAATTTCTCACAATTTGTGTAATATCTGCAATATCAGAAGGAAAAAACATATTACGTAGTTTTTACATAGTCACCCAGACATTTTTAAAATTTATGTAAATTGATTGTAAACTTGGGTATTTATGTTTACACACATTAAGGTGATGAGAAGATGATCTGAAGCTATTATGATAAAAAATTACTTCAGAATAATTAATTAACATAGAAAAAAATTATACCTAATAGCATATACACAGGATGGATACGGATCCGTCTGGAAAAGATTTTGGATCATACTTCATCGAAAATGAAGTAGAATGCCGCCAGAGCGGTATCCTATTCTCTGTTCAACACGGAGTAATAATTGTTCTTGTGATTTTTGAAAAATTTGTTAGAAGCCTTTTCTCCACTTTTACCTAATTTATTCGCAGTTTTGAGGGTTTTTTTGGAAGGAGCAATAAATTTTCTGTAGGACTGAACCATTTTCATTTCTTTGCGACACGCTTAAATGTCATTTATAACAAATGAAACGTAAAATTTCTATGAAATCCGGAATTTTCAGAGGAAATTAAAAATTTGCTACTCTTTTACAATCTTAGAGACTGTCGAATCACACAAATATTTCTTCAGTTAATAACTTTTTTATGTAGGCATTGTGATTTACACTTCTTTGGTAAGAGAAACTAGGGTTAAAAAAGGTAAACTTCTTAGGGTTGTCTCAAATGTGTGGTATTTAGTGACTGTTAGTTAATGATTATATGTAGATCATGAGCCTAGAACCCCACGATGCGTATCAAGCCGAAGATCGTGGGTTCAAATCCCCCTCGTGCCATTGACTTTTTTGTCTCAACTGTGAAAACCTTAATTAATTGTACGATATTAATTGGTCAAGCGGATCACGAAACTAGTGAATTTAATAAGTTTAAAATGAAGTATACTTCACTAAAGCTCTCCGTGGCCATTTCATTTGTCGCCGAGAATCAAATTGATTACACGACATTTGAAAAATGGCAAAAAGGAGGGAAAATTTAAAAGGTGTGGTTGAGATGGAAGGTTGGTGTCTGAGTGGATCGAGGTCACGATAGCTCAAATGGTAGAGCAGCGGCGTATCAAGCCGAAGATCGTGGGTTCGAATCCTGCTCGTGCCATTGACTTTTATCTCAACTGAAAACCTTAATTAATTATATATCTCACAAATTTATCTAAGCCTTTTAAACTTTCAGTGTTTAAAAATAAGTATTTTCTTACAATGGCAGTTTTCTTGTAATTTATTTCACCAACGATTATGAAGAAGCCATAATAAATTTATTTTTATTTTGTTTCATAGAGGAGACAATGGGGGACGGTGAGGATGGTCCTCCGGCAAACATGTCAAAGCTAGGTTGTAATTTGGGTCCAGATGACGGCGATGACATGGCGATGGCCATTTCTCCTAGCAGGGCCGAGGGCTCGTATGGCGTCATGCATATGCGCCAGCCCCAGGGCCTGCTTGCCGCCTCTGACTCAGAGGACTCTGGTATGGAAGAGGCCGTCGCCAGGGTGAGCCGAAGGGAGCCGGAGAGGCCAGCCAGGGCGCAAGGCCAACACATGGGCCCTCCGCAGTTCAACTGGCAAGCCAGCAAATTCTCTCTCAAAGACAGGTCAGTTTGAAAATTTTCTAAATTAAAAATGTAAAATTTCTAATATATTGATAAAAATGAATTCATGTTCAGCGTGACTTGAAAGAAAAATATTTTTTTATTTTTAATGGATTTCTTCCAGTTATGTAAATATTTATTTCAAGGCTATTAGGTATCAGTTGATTTATTTTTTTAAACCTAGGATAAGAAAATAATAAGCAGTGTTGTTGGAAATAAAATAAAATTGATGAAAAGTGACAACAATCAAAAGACACTTCCAGTAAAATATATCCAAAAAGATATTTGTTTGAAAAAAGAAAAAAAAGATTAATTTTACGCACCCTTTAAATCTTTTAAATATAAATTTTCAACAGAATAACAAATAGACACTTTTAAGCAGGATTAGTCTCAGGGGCAAATTGTATCTCTCTTGTATCTGGTATTCCATTTTAAAAAATGCATCACCCTTCAGGGTTATTTCCAAATTTCAACTGTGGAAAAGCTGAATATTTCTACTTTGATCCGCATCAATGTTTGGATTTAATGACATTAGAAGTGAGAAAGATAAGGATGAAATCATCAAAACTACCCAAACTTTCTTTTTTTAAATCTCTGGATCAAATTTATTAACGGAAACTAAGTTAATGCTATTATGTGTAATTTACAAGGCTATAAGCCACTGTAAATTTTCCCATAGATCCATAGTTATTTCAAATTTATCATTAATTTTGTGAGTTTTTAAGAAAAAGAATCAAAGGCTGTAAGGGGAAAAATTTGAGAGAAAAAATTATTTAATTTAACCAAAAAATTTGTATTAAGGGTTTTTTGGAGTGCAGAAAACGAATTTAACTTGCTTCGTTTGAACGTTTCTTGCTAAAAAGAATATTTTACCCCACTTTGCAAAATTAGGTATTGTATTTCGGCCGCATTGATTTTCATGTTTTTTAAAAGTAGGGTAATTTTTTTCCTCTGGCAAGCAACAGAGTTTAAATTTGTTTTCCTCATAATCCTCACCCCCAGAAAACCCTAAATAAAATTTTTTGGGGGAATTTCTGTTTGTCTCCAAATTTTTTGCATTCACTCAGATTTTTTTGAAAATCACAAAAACAGTGACAACTTGGTGATAAAAAAAGTGATAAAGTGTCTACCAATCTACAGGAAACTATACGGAATGACGCAAATTTGGCCTTTGTAAATATATCACAACCAGTATTATTAAATATAAAGTGTAAAGTAAGTGTAAAATGTATTTTTTTAAATATTTTTTTTATAGTGCTGTAAAATCTAAACATTTTGACATAGTATAAAATAAAAGACGTTCAACTTTACAAAGGTTAATAACAAAGGTAATAACATTGAATTTGAGTAGAATTCAAAGCAATTAGGAATTTTTTTAAGTGGAGCACTGGACATCTGTGGGAAATAAAAATTGCCCAAGCGAAACCTTAGGCCAAAAATGACTTTTTTTGTTTGCTATAAAAATATCTTATTTAAGAGGTTTAAAAAAAATGCTTAAAAGGAATCTGACTTGTTTTCTTCATAAATTAATTTTTTGGCCTACTTTTTACTGTAAGCATTTTTGCGTGTTTTGTAATTTTTTATACTTCTAATCTCATTTAATAAGATAATGCATATTATTTCCTTACCTTAGGTTACGACCTAGGAATAAAAATCAAATGATAAATACATAATAACCTCTAGAAAAGGCAGAAAAGTGTAATTTACCTTTTTCTAAAGTCCTCAGCTCCTAAGACTTTTGTGAAGAACATTTGGACACAGTTTTAATATTTTTTTTACCTAACATCACAAAAAAAAAGTTTTATTGAAATTGGTATTCCAATGTCAGCTTTTTAGTAGTAATATTGCAGTAAATCGTGCAATTTCCCCAGTTGTCTGCAGGGTGTTAAATTTTTCTGAAACTGGTCTGCCCTGGGTCTGGGCACGAGCGAGGATAGGAAGAATAATCAATTATTGAATATTATATCAGTACTATTTTAGGTTAATTTTGAATTTAGTAGGTTATTTTTGGACTTTCTTTTCTCTCTTCTGTTAATCTACTTAATTAGCCATTTATTATTTAATTTCTGCCCTTTCACTTTGGATATTTTTATCTTTACACACTCGCCTTAGTAGTTTGATAATGAGTCAAAATTTTCTATTATTTCTTGGACAATTGTCAAAATGTGGAAGCCATTCTGGGCCACTTAAACTAGCACTATCAAGAGAAAGAGGGAAGTTCAGATAAGATAATTCAATTTAATTAAATGTCTCTTGGTCACAACCATGAAAACATTTGAGCTGGTAGGATTTCTTAACATTTGTGATTACAAGAGAGAGAGGAAAAAGATTCAAAAAGGTACCATTTTAATTGATTTTTGACGACAGATTTTTTTTCTAATGTGATAGCTACTTTTTTTCTCACAAATAATCTAGATCTCGGTATAGTCTAGATTTTCTTTTTGAACTAAATACTAGAGAAAAATCATGATTTCAAATTAATAGGAGAAAAGATGGATGTTACAGGTTTTCTTATATGTTCAACAATGAAGTGCTTAGTGATGTCCATTTTCTTGTTGGCCGAGAGCCTCTTCGCCAAAGAATCCCAGCGCACAAACTGGTGCTCACCGCTGGTTCGGCGGTGTTTGATGCCATGTTCAATGGTACACTTGCAACGACTGCACCCGAAATCGAGCTCCCTGATATCGAGCCATCCGCATTCTTGGCTCTCCTTAGGTAGATTGAAACAGCGCAAAACTCAAAACAATATTATAATTGTTATTACCCTTATTTTTAATAATTATTACCCTTGTAGGTTTTTATATACAGATGAGGTTCAAATTGGGCCAGAGACAGTGATGACAACATTGTATACTGCTAAAAAATATGCCGTACCTACTTTAGAAGGCCATTGCGTTGATTTTTTAAAGGTAATTTTAATTTTAAATTATTTAAAATAAAATCATGTATTTATAAATTTGGTTATTTTCATAATTTATATATTAAAACCAGATTTTTTAAATGATATGAAAGAAAACATATTTTGTTAGTCAGATAGTGTTTTTTAGACCTATTGATTACATAAATTATTTATCTCTGAGTACGTTCAAGAGGTTCATATTTTTTACTGGTTGAAAAATTGTCTTTGGAATTTTAATTGCATTCATTTTTAATTAAGACAGAAACTTTAAAAATACCTTAAAAAAAATGCAAGCAATGTTGTTGCAATACAAAATTTGATTTGTAGAGGAATTTGAGGGCAGACAATGCGTTTATGCTACTTACGCAGGCCCGACTGTTCGACGAGCCTCAGCTCGCCTCTCTTTGTCTCGACACAATTGACAAAAATACATTCGAGGCTGTTTCCGCTGATGGGTTTACTGACGTTGACCTGGAAACATTGATAGCCGTTCTTGAAAGGGACACGCTTCACATACGAGAAACCAAGCTGTACCAGGCTGTTATCAGGTAGGGTGTAGTGATTTTTCTTTTTTCCTAGCTTGTTATTTTACAATTTGAAGGTGGGGCGAAGTAAGATGCCAGCGGCGTCAGTTACCGGTGACACCCGATAATTTGAGGTCAGCCCTCGATTCCGCTCTAAGCCTCATTAGATTTCCGTTGATGGGACTTGAAGAATTCGCCCAAGGGCCTGCTCAATCAGGTGTCCTTACGGATAGAGAAGTCGTCTCATTGTTTCTTTACTTTACTGTCAACCCTAAACCTCCCTTGCGCTTCAAGTAAGTATTAAAAAAAAAAAAAAAAAAAAAAAATCAGTCAATTAGTTGTATTTTTTTTAAATTATTAATGTATGATGTTTGAATTCTCCTCGCTCAGATCTGCACTGTTTTACCACCCTGTGCCCACGAGACGAGACCCACGCTGTCGCAGTAAGTATTAAAAAAAAAAAAAAAAAAAAAAATCAGTCACATTAGTTGTATTTTTTTTAAATTATTAATATATTTTTTAGAGATTCTCCTAGAGGTCTAATGACAGGTCAGTTATCAGTTAATCGTTTTAAACAAGTTGAATGGAGGTGGGGATACAGTGGAACAAGTGATCGTATTGGGTAAGAATTTTTTTATTTTATTACTATCTCAGTAGATTACTATATAGTTTATAGTATATTTTAAGCATTGAATGTTTGGAAAAGTTTTGTTAAAACAAACTAAGACTTCAGTGATTTATGAGCAGATAAGAGGTTGATCTTTGTGCAAGGGTGAAATTGGTCACTTGTTCAAAATAAACACTTTAAAAAAATACACCAGTACACACACTAACACACATTTGAACAAAACTGTCAATTTTAAACACAATAGCTCATACTAGAGCAATAAAATGCATTATCTTAGGTGATAAGTGATCTACAATACTTGTCTTGTGCAATGCTCAGGCCCATTAAAAACATGAGCAAATGATAAAAATGAGTTCACAGTAAGTTGATTTTCTTAATTGTTTATAAGAACATCCAAAAGACTTAAGAACTTGGTTCTTATAACCGATTTCACGTAGTTGGGCCTATGGACTAGAAATGAAAATAATGTTTAAGGTTTAAGAACATACACGCAAAAAATGAAAAACAGATCCTTAAATTTATTGCACCTACATAGAAACTGTGTTTTTATAGTTTTACTCGTACATATTGTCAAATATATACTAGTATCTATTTAATACAGTATATGCTAAATTTCTGATGCTTGTTTTCAAACTTTCAAAAAAATATTGCACATTACATTATTGTGTAATAAAATAGGAAAAAATGAAACAAAATTATATACTTATAATATATATAAAATAGTAAGTCAAGTTACTTTGTTTAACTTTTTTTTCTTCTTGTGAATAAAAAGCATTTTTGGTTATCACGACTAGAAGCTAGAACAGCTAGAGAATGCCCACAAAGTGGGGTTCTTTCCCCACTACTGTGAACAACACTGGTAGACAAACTCCTACAAATAATGACCTTGCCGTAGAAGTAAAAGGCTGCCATGCATAGGTCATTGTTGCAAACCAAACATTTATTCTTACGGTTGGGCAAGAAAATTTGCTGGAAAGATCTTAACATGCATTTTCATCATCATTTATCCTGCTGGAAACTTATGCACTCGTTCCTGCGACAATTTCTTTATCTGTTATATTCCTATGAGGTATAAGATTCAAGTCAGTGTCTTCAAATTTTAACCGTTCGTCATGAATCCAGCATGTTGGAAAAAATTGAAAATCATAGGTTTAACAAATTACATGCCACGATGAACTAGATTATCAACCTGCTGGAAACATGAAGTCTTTTCGGAGGATCTACGGAAGAGGTCAAACACAGAGAAAACTTCCTTTCGGTTTTCGCCGAGCTTTCGACAGTTTTATACTGACATCTTCAGGGCCTGTTTTATTATCATATTAAAAAAAGAAAAAAATGCCCAAAACACCATGTCGTTTAATTTCCCATTAAGGTTTAAGTAAGATATTAAATTTTTGTGCAATTTGTTTTTTTTCCATGTTTTAATTTTTTTTTTTTAATAAGATCCTCCGAAAAGACTTCAAATTACATGCCTATCTGGAACTGAGATCTTCAGTGCTCTATTATTTTCACTGTCATTGATGATTTGTTCATCTAATGTTTGTATTTGTAAACTTTTTTGTAGTTTATTCCAGTCCTTTTCATATTCTTCTTGGTTTTCTGTTTTTGAAAATATTTGCAATAGTTACATAGCTAACTTCTAGTTCCTTCACCAATTCTCCATTATTCCCATATTTTCCGATCTGGAAATTATGTAAATTTTGTCTTCAACAGTAAAAGTTTTACAATCATCTGTACCTTCCTATTCTCTTTGAATAGCAGTGGTAAACTGAGAAAAGGTGACCAGAGAATAAAGACGCATTGCTTAAATTTTCATAGAAAAATCAGTCCGGATGTTCTTTTTAGCAATTTATTTTTAGTTAAAGAGTGTTACGTTCTTATTAACTTCGAGACTTTTTATAGACTAAATTCTATGGAAAAGGGGTGGGAACTAGTAATCCCATTCTTTTAAATGATATGTTTTTACAACAGGTGCCCTTTTAAACAATTTCTACTGTATTATTATTATTATTCATCAAATATACAATTTAATTTAAGTTTAAAAAAAATTAATTTGTCCTCAGTTTTTCTGTGAACCGTAAGATATATGTAGTTGGACTGGGGCTCTATGGTACACCACATGGCCGAGGGCCCAGTGAATACGAAGTGACAATTGAAATCGTTCTTCCGCTGTCGGGGCGAATCTGCAGCTCGAACATAACGAGAGTGTCAAGCGACGGGAATTGCCCAACATTCAAGGTCATGTTCAAAGAGCCAATCGAAATCAGGCCGAACACACCTTACCACGCATCAGCCAAAATAAGGGTAACTGTTGTAACCTCTGAGAGAATATTTTTGAATATTGTTTTAAAATGGATCATTTTATTAGGGTCCTGATACACATTATGGCACAAAAGGACAACGAAGGGTCGAAGTGGACTGCGGCAATTATGGCAAAGTGGTTTTCCAGTTCACCTACGTCGCTGGTACAAACAACGGTACTTCGGTCGAGAGCGGGCAGATCCCAGAGATATTGTTTTATACTTGAACATTGCTGGCTGTGATTTGTGTCATAGGGTTTTGGTTAGTGGTTAGATATTTCCTTGGAGGCAACTTACCATTTACGTTAAGAGAAATATAAAAAACTGTCAAGGAAAAAATTAAAACATTTAAAACAATTGTTATTTCTTGGTTGAAAACTTAACTGAATTTAACAAATACTTTTCTAGTCTTTCCTTGAAATTTTAACAAAAAAATATCAAGCTGTCTTTTCTTTAAAAAAGATTAATGTTGTTTTATTGAATGTTGTCTATAAAAATATAGTGAGAGCATTGAAATTTGTGTTGTTAACAGAAAAGACAAAGCTTGATGATCTAAAACTTTTTTTAAAATGAATATATAAGAATTACCATGCTTATTTTTTCAAGTGGTATTAAAATCTAGTAATAAAATTATAATTCTATTTTCTAAAGATAAAAAGTCGTTGCCTTTATTTTTATTTTTTAAATACAAAATATAAGAATCTCATTAGCTTAAATCGATCTTGATTTTTGTTAAAACATTGTTGTTTGTTATAAGATCATTTGTATTATATTTAACAAAATGGATGTCACTATTACGTATAATTTGTGGTTTACATGCATTTAAAAAATAAATAAATAAAAAAATTATATGCACAGTAATCTTTATTTATTCATGAATATTTCATAAATTTTCCACATTCACAAAATATGAACTATAATATGCCATGTAACAGTTCAATTAATAATAAAAGATTAGTAAAAAACCAACAATAAAAACCTAAAACAGAAGAAATGTTTTATTTATTAAATTCACTAATTTCATGGTCCGCTTGACCAAGTTCAAGTTTTATTTATTTATAATATATCAAATTTGATAAAAGTACAACAAAGTATTGAAAGGAAACATAACAAATTCAAGGATTTAGAGCTGATAAGGCTAAAAAAATATATACATATTAAATAAAAATACAAATTGAAATTAAAAAGTAACAATTAAAAATCTTCCGCCCTAAGTTATGTGGACAAGAGATAATTGGGACTTAAAGGAGAAAGGGGCGAGTGAGTAAGAGTCCATAAGAAAGAGGCACTGATGAGAAATATGATAGTTGTTATAACTGTTAATTGTTGTCCCAATTGGTATACAGATCAGCAACTTTATTTATTTTAAAGAAGATAAATTTTATTCTTGGGTTTTAAGCCCCCTTTTGATTATAAAAAAAGGACAAAACTTGGCACAATTTGTTTAAAAAATGAATGTACAAATAAAGATTTTTAAAAAAATTTGTATTGCCTTTATGATAAGATCTAATATCAGGCCAAACATTGGTTGCCAACACATTGGCCATCCTTGACCCATCTCATCAAACCAAGGGGTTGTGGCCATGTGGAATTGCAGTCAACAATGTCAACCCTTTTACTGTTACCACCGGAAACTGCTTCATTGGCTGATTTACCTCCCGTATGCATGCCTTAAGATCTCTTTCACACTGTATGAAGTATAAGGGTTATGGCAACAAAATGCGAGAAAGCACCTGTTTCCTTATTTTGTTAGGGTTGTTTGTTTTCTTTTGAACCCACATTTTTATTTCGACTGGGTTTCTTTCTTTTCTTGCTTCTCTTCTCGTAAAGTGCTTCCTGACTCTACAAGTTGTCTTGTGTAAAACCAGCCTAGACTCCACATGTCAGTCAATTAGTTGAGAGTCAAAAAGACACCAATTTGGTTTAAACTCAATTCAGTTCTGAACCGAGTTCAACTAAAAAATTGCGTTTTTCAATTTGTCTTGAACCGCGTTCAAATACTGATCCTGGTTCAAATAGGAACAGCCGTCGAGCGTGGGTTAAACGGAGATCCGGAGTTATGATGTCCATTTCATAATAATATAACCTGTCTGTTTTTAAAAGCGTGTTCTCACAATTCACCTTTTGATGTTTTTATTTACACGTTTCAATAAAAATATATTAACTTTTGATTTGAAAGCCAATTATCTTTCTTATACAATTCTAAGTTCTAGTTGTCTTAATTTTGTTGTTCTAATCATGAATGCTAAGTCCAGTAATTTGTGTTTCTTTTACGCAAGAAATTTAACCATTTTATAATCATCAACGCATATCTATTTATACTCATCAAGTCGTGTCATCATTAGGTCGAGAGATTGCTAAAATCATATATTTTGTGCCGAAGACCTTAATTTTGCAATAACGGATCCAGTAATTTCCATTTCTATCATAATAAAACTGAAGCATTTTCCTATTGTTTATCTGTATTTCTTATAAGCATATTGTATATGTCGTTGATTCCAAAGGAAGTAAGGATAAAATCCTATAAGTTTTAGCAAAATTTTTCATTACAGCTATCATAAATGTGAACAAGTTTTGTGTCAAAGACGGCCTTGATTTTGTAGTAATGAATCAGATAATTCAAAAGTTAAATAATACGATAAAATTCTAATGATTTTAGATTAAACTTTGATTCAATTGAGGCTTATTTTTGTTTTGCTTTTTGACTATTTTATAAGCAAAGACAACTAAAAACTAATTGAACTAAATCTGAACAACAAAACCGAAACCATAAGATTTAACAGAAACCTATTCGTTACTAAACGAAATTTCATTTGGATGATAGATGGATACAAGGGTAATCTAATGGATGAATTTTTACAAATAAATGTAAATAAAGAATAGATGACGAAGATTTCCTTGAATTGTTAGGTAAATATATTGGTAGGTGTACAAAGAAAGTGTTTTTAGAACCAACAAGACCATTTGCACGAATGAGACAAGGATAGATTCTTTAATAAATTCAGAATATCAACAAAAATTTTCTCTGACATATTCAAAGAAAGAAAAAATTAGTAAAAGGTAAAAACACGAATATACTAAATAAAAATCTATGAAAAGTGGTACAACAACCAATGTAAACAATGAATGAAACTACCACTAGCTCTAATAGTAGAAAGAGATTATTGTCAGTTCTACCAACTAGGATCAGTTAAACTACCTTACAGATGGTGCAACGCTCCCTTTTTTGAACTTGATTCAAATTGTGAACGACGTTCTAGTGTACAAGGTTTTAACCGTGGCTAGTGAACTTAGTGGGCCCTTAGTGAAATCAACCAAACCACCTTGTCTGAAAGAGGCTTAGTAGATATTCATAATAATTTTTCAAGAGGTTTAACACGGATGGATGTTGGACAGAAGTAATATGGGTTAGTGGGATTTAAGAATTTTATTTAAAAGGTTTCACAAAAAGTTGCTTCCATGATTTAGTAAATATGGAGTTCTCTAAGAAAAAATATGGCAAATGGTAAGGATAATAAGACACAAATTAAGAAATTGAACAGAATGAAGCTAAAAATAAAATCACAGTTTCAAGTAAGGCATTTTATAATGCACCAAAAATGTTTCAGGGATTTTAAAAATTAACTCACCTATATTTTAAAAGCTCTAACAATTTTATAAATACATTCCCATCACATTTTTGCAGGTATTTGTTTATCGACTAACTTTTTAATTTGATCAGAAGCATTAATGACTTTGTTTTCAAGGTAGTTTCTACTATTTGTTTCTGTATCATCAAGGAAGTATCTGAAAATTAAAGGTATTTAAAAAACAAAATTATATAAGGTATAAACCTGTACCTATAATTAACCATCAGCCCGCAGGAGTTTGTCATGCCGCGCGGTGATGTGTCAGCCAACCAGTTAAGTCGCCACATAACTGCACCATTCCTCAGATGGAAATTGGCTGAAAGAGTTCAACATTAACTAATTAAATGCAAAAAGAAAGTCGTTTTTGTATACTCACCAACATTATCGAGAGCGGCTCCTCTACGTTTTTCTTTGAATAGGTAATATGCACACGTTGACATCAATGGTTGTTCCAGTATGGCAACAAGGTTGGCATCATGGTGCCAAGTATTATTGTGAATGTGCCTTTTTAACTCTTTCCAACTTCCTAACTTCTCAACGACTGGTGTCCATTGTTCTACTGGAAGACCACCTTCATCTACAAAAAATAAAAAATAAATATTTCTTTTAATTTATTTATATTTTAACATGGTAAACCTTTTTCCATGGATTTGAACTTTTCCATTAACCAATTTTTGAAATTTGGGATGGGAGAGAGACTAGAAAAAAGGGTCATGTTTGGAAATTCAGTCTGAAGTTCCCTCACAACTCGTTTAATCAGATAATTTCCAAGTTCAATCCCCTAAAACAATATATCATCAGTAAATATACAACTTCATGTTTGGTACCTAAATTTAATATGATTAAGTTTTTATGTGTGGTGATTAGTGACTGTTAATCGATAATTATTCAGAAATCGTGAGATGCGGTCTGGTGTGATGTAGGTTTCAGAAAAACATTTTCTTTATCGTGCCAACGTTTCAATCTTTATTGATCATCGATCTTTTTTTTTTTTTTTGCATTGTACAAATTCACTTTTTTCCACATCCTACATGTATTTGTTAAATGTAAACAATGTTTGTAAATCCCAGGCCCTGAAGATGATCTCAATAAAGATCGAAACGTTGGCACGATAAAGAAAATGTTTTTCTGAAACCTACATCACACCAGAACGCATCTCACGATTTCTGAATAATTATTTGGTTTTTAATGAATTAGAAAGAGAGAGCTTGTTATTTGGTCGTTACCGACCATTTTGATCTGCCAATCCTTGCTGGGTAGGAGACCAGTGGATAGGACCAACTATTTTTATGCTGTTTGGTCATTTTCAATTATTTTGCATGCAGCACTAGTGTTGTACAAAACTGAAGTTGGCGAGAAATATATCTGAAATTATAATTAACAAAATAATCTAGGATAGACAGACCAAAATAATCGGTAACAATCAAATTGCAAGTTCATCACCATGCGACCACAAGAGGAAATCACAATAGAATATAATTGAATTTTAAACTGGTTTTCAGAAGTGTCAGGCAGGGCTGCATTTTAAGCCCTTTTCTTTTCTTATTTACATTTCTCTCAACTTGCCACCAATTAAAACAATTATCTCTTGATTTTTATTTTCATTTTACAATTAATTAAGGTTTTTAGTTGAGATGAAAAAAAGTTATTGGCACGAGCGGGATTCGAACCCATGATCTTCGGCTAGATACGCCGCTGCTCTACCACTTGAGCTATCGTGACCTCGATCCACTCGGACATCAACTTCCTATCTCAACCCCACCTTATNCTTAATTAATTGTAATGTATTAATTGGTCAAGCGGACCACGAAATTAGTGAATTTTCATTTTAGTTCATCATGGACAGGGTTCATCCAATCTGCCATAAATTTGGAATTTCATTAACTGGATGGACTTTTGTGCCACTATACCTGAGGACCATTGACGATAGGATGACAGAGGAGAGGCACTGGAAACTCTCAGGAAATGCAAATGATGTTTTTAATATAAAGTGTTTTAGTAGTTATGACCTACCTTTCAAGAAGGGCTTTTTGTCCGCTGAGCTTCAGGAATTTGCCTTTCCTCTCCTCCATTATTACTTGGGGGACCAATGTAGTAGGGGAGGTTTGGAAAATTAAAGTATGGCTTGAGTAGATTCCCAAGAAAGGAGAACCGAGAGATTTGATTTAAGAATCAATGAACATTTCTCATGAGATTAAGTCAATTATTGAACTTTTAGATATTATTTAGGTTAATAAAAAGTGAAATTATTTGACCAATAATTTTTTTCTGAATAATATTGGTAAAAATAGAAAATACCTGAAGACCTTGTTGTGTGGATGTGATTGAGTAGAAAATCGCTGCAGTCACTTGGCATGGGTCTTCGATCTCTTGTCCAACTCCAATAAGGCCAGACATAGAGTTGGCATCAACTGGACAGATACAGTTAAACCGGCTGGAAAAAACACATGGTTATGATATCCAACCTGACATTCGCTGAGTTGCCGCTACAATCCCTTTCATACTTGAAGCTATTTCTGTACACAGTGCAGTGTGGAGGACAACAATTGGCTCACAGGGCATGGCACTGTGAGTATACACAAAGCAACGCCTGTATGAGCCGACCCTACGCTTCAGGTCGGCCCAGCTTCTGACCGGATGAACGGCTTCATACTCTGAAATCTGATGATTGGCTGACATTAGAATGAAAAACGGGATATGATGTGAAACGAACCTTTTGGAGCATTTCACAAGGAGATTTCCACGTGACTCTTTCCAAGCTGAGGAAACCGACACTGAACCAAAGTGAGAGGAGGTCTTTTAATGTAGCATTCAGTTGCTGAAGAGGTATAAAACTAGGGCTTTTCGAGTCCATTTCTGATAATAAAACCTAAAATTAAAAAGCCACTTTCAAATAACTGAATGAACTAAGAAGAAACAAAAAGAAAATAGCTCAATCGCTGACTTATTAAAATTTCTATAATACAAAATTTCTACTGCAAGTCAGCTATTTCATAGAAAACATTTAAAAAATTCAGTTTTTTAATATAAAATTTTCCAGTTAGTTACAAGTTGAACTGTTCATTAAAAGTGTAAAATAGTATATAAAATATATTTTTATTTGTTAAAGCCATGCAGAGCAGTCAGGAAGGAAGTATTTTAGAAAAACGTTTTTCATGTTTTGCCAATGTTTCAACTTTTATTCACTGTATGAGTGTGGTCTATTCTTGTGGTGTCATTTATTTCGTGCAAAACTGTTGTGAAAAAATGGCAAAAACATTGGTGTTTTTCTAAAATACTTTATTCCTGACTGCTACTCACAATTTCAACAAATTATTGAACAACCGATTACTAAAAAGCACATATATTTTTATTACCAAAACATCTGTCCGTAGATCGACGAGAAACTTGACTCCAGCTTCAAGTCTTCCAATTGTTTTGAAAAGCCAAGAGTACTGTGGTGTAAGAACAGCTTTGAGCTGTTCCTCGGCTTTTAAAGAGACTGTGCTCCCAGGCGGAAAGTCTTTCTGTAAATAATTTTAAACCTTGTTAATAAATCTGTGTCAAATTTCATTTTTTTTTTTTAAATAAATTGAACCGAGATTCAATTTCCCTCACAAAATAAACACAATGTTTATTTAAAGTAACAGGCATCTTATTAGCTGAAAATATTTCTAAAAATCTATTATTTGAATAATTAAATTAATATTTAATATGTTAAGAGTTATTAGATTAGGTGTTAAGAATTTATCTGTCAGATGGTCTATAAGTAAACATTAAATGGGTGTTTATCTCTATGTTTACATTTGTGTTATTCTGTTCAAAAATATTTTCATGATTCTGCCCAAACTAGGCCTTGTAATTATCTCTTAGTGGAAAAAAAATATAAAAAAAATATATAAGACGGTGAAATAAAGCAAAGTCAACAGCTTATTTTCCCCCGAGTTGCATAACAATATTTCTATACTTACAAACTGGTTCATGGCCTTGTGGATTCTTTCATGATTGACTGAATAATCTGTTGCGAGCACTTTCAAAAACCCCTCCTTGTGAGGCTTAAAAAGGCATTTGTAGTAGAGAACCAAAGTTCTGACTTTGTTCTGAAAGAGAGCAAAAAGTGAGTATCAGCACTACGAATAAAAAGGGACAAGAGTACCAAACAAAGACTAATAATGTCAATAGACATAAACTTGATTTTTTAAGGTAGTCATACATGCGTATGAACAGGCCAAGCCTTGAGGAAGTCCTCAACGTGTGTGGCAGTGACCTTCAGGCCACAGTGGGAGGGAAATCCTGAAAAAAATCAATTATTTTTCCACCTTGAGACCAAACCACGAGAACAACCAACCACCACCGGTCAACACAGAACTAGACCTTTACATTGATGATTTTGTTGAGGAACATCTCTGTGTGTGATTGTGAGTTTGGTAGAGGAATGTCCAGAGGTTTTTTCCATGAGGTTTTTCTGTACAACCTTTATATACAATATATAGGCTTAAAATTGAAAACTTGATGATTTTAATTTCTGTACTATAAGAAAATTCTGTTATTAATTTTTCTGTTTTAATAATAAATCTTCTTATATACTGTGTTTAACATTGGGATTATAATTAAGGGGTGAATACTCTTAACACTCTTGTAATTCCTAATTCAGTCTCAAATCAATTTCCTTTATTGGGTGCGTTTAAGTTGATGTTAATGAGATGTGGCACAATGTGTGGTACCATTCTATTGGAAATGTGGCGAGTGCACTATGACACAGGGTGGTCCATTTTTTGTGCACCGTAGGAAAAACAATGGAGCACCTGTTTAAATGGATTCTGGTTCAATTTTCTTATCTTTCAATTTAAAAAAAAATTTTGGTAAAAACTGAATGAATTTAATTCTTATTTCCCAAAGTAAAGGAATTACAATGAATTCAAACTACAAAATACACACATACAAATTGAAAATCTATTAGATGCTTTTCTAATTTGGAAATATAATTTGTATGGCTATAATTGTTTCAAAAACAAGGCAAAAATGCCTAATATTATTATTATTAGGAGAACTTGAAGGGAAAGATGGCATTCGAAGACATCCCTTTCCCAGGATTCATCCTGATCACTGCAGGAAAATCCAATTTAAAAAAATTCCCTTATGAGAATTCATCTTGATCCCTCAATCCAAGTTGGCTATGGCTTCACATAAATCGGAAAATCTGATGAACTGCCAACATCTTTTTCCCATCTATCGCCTTGGGCTTGCTGGACTGATCTTGCCTCCTTACACTGATTAAATCATCGTCCCATTGCAATCACAAATCATCTACTGGGTTCCTAATTGGCCTTGGCTGTACATAAGGATAAAATTCGATGAACCCTCAACCTCCTCTCCTTGGATAGGAAGCTGTCGTGGAATCCTCATATAAAACATTTACTAACAAGAGCAGAAATTGTACAACATACTAAAATGTTTTTGCAGTAGCAAATGGGGTGCCGACCCGTTCATAGGCATGTTATATTCATTAAATCATCCATTAGAGCAGTGATCAATTTTGGATCAATTTTTTATGGATAGGCCTCACACTCGTTCTTGAAAAAATTGACATTCTGCGTAATGCTTGCCTAAAACGCATCCATGGTGGGTTGCCAAGTACTCCGATCGTGGCTCTGTCGGCTAAATCTTGTGAGCCCCCATTGGAAATAAGTTGATTAAAATTGGCACTGAATTTCCTCACTAAACTACTCAGTCAGGAGAGCCCGGTTTTTAACAATATAACTACTCTCACAGAAAAAGTTCAAACCTGCAAGTACTGGAATAAAAAAAAGACCCCCACATTAGTTTCGGCCTTTCTACATTCAATCCCGTACATATACTCACTACATAAAAGCTTTGTTGATCCTTTATACCAGCTAGATTATAGGACTTTGACAAATAACATTGACACAGTGTTTTTAAAAGACTACTCGAAGTCCGCTCAACACTTAGTACAGAAGGAATTTATAGCAGACATGGCTGAAAACTATCCAGACCACTGGCAAATTTTTACGGATGGATCGCTCTTGGATGGCAGGGCAGGTTGCGCTATTTTCGATTACAAAAGTGAACATAAAGAACAGTATGCTCTACCCAACTCAATCACTGTCTACACTGCGGAATTAACCTCCTTAGCTAAAGCGCTTGAATACATAAAAAAAAGGAATGAAACTAAATTCTATTAACGGACTGTCGAAGCGCTGTAGATAGTATAAGTAATGCAACCCCAAGCTGCAAAGTTAATAATTATATCATCACGGATGTTTACCGAAAGATCTTTGAGCTAAAAAAAGATGGAAAAACTGTGATAATATGCTGGATTAAAGGTCATGCGGGTATTCTTCATAACGAAACAGTGGATGTGTTGGTGAAGGAGGCCACTGTACATGGTGTACCCCATCAGTTGAAAATTCCTAAAACAGATGGAAAAATTTTTTTCAACAAATTGTGTTCCAATCTATGGGATAAAGAATACAGCTCAGCAACAGCTGGCGATTACTATCGAGCTTTATTCCCAAAGCTTAAAGCAAAGCCGTGGTTTTCGGAAGGAGACAGGCGAAAGGAATTCTACTCTACTATTTTCAGAATCAAAACTAACCATGGCCTGTGGGGGAGTTGTAGGCATAGAATTGGAATAAACACTTCCCCTAACTGTCCAACATGCGACAGTCCATCAAATCCCAGTCATTACTAGAATGCCCAGAGTACGATACCAGAGGAAACAATTATTGGATGATCTGTATAGTACCCCAGTATAATGGGCCCAATAAATCTTGAAACGCTGTTGGCAAGTAACAACATGAAGGTCTTGGATTTAATTTATAAATTTTTTAAATCAATCAACATTTCCTTTTAACGTCGGGAGAAGGATAAAATTTTTTTTAAATAAATGAATAAATATTATATGGCAATATTTCCAAAGGAAAAAGCAAAAAAAAAGCTCTTATTTTACTTTTAGATATTGTACATATTATAAAATTATTAATTAAATTAATATATTACATTTTATTTATTTTACCTTTATATATTTTACTTTATTTATTTATTTTTAACTTTATGTATTTTATATATATATTTTTGTGTGTGTGTGATATATTTACCTCAACAATCCAACTGCTGACATTTTTTTCCTGAAGTGCGATGACCTCTTTAAGGTAGCTAATCCCCCTTTGTTCGTCTTCGACTGTGCTCATCCGTCGCTGAAGAGGCGGATGATCGAACAACTCTTCAGGAGGGTAGGACCTGCATCCGAGGGTCTCGCCCTGTGAGTCTGCTGAAACGTCGTCGTCCATGGATCGTCCGCGACCGCCGGCTGCCCGGCCACTACTGTACGACGACGAAAGAGCCGAGAGTGCAGCGCCGAACCTGTGTGGATTTCTGCCAACTGGCGATAAAAGGAGCTTCGCCGCCCCGGACGCCATTCCCCTGTAAATCCATTGTTTTTAGATCGTCGCCGTCCGGTTCCCCTCGCCGAAACGGCCTCGGCCCCAATTGGAAGACGTACGAGGACTTTTCACGATTGGTATTCGAGCCGAGTCAAAAGAGGAAACGAGTTGGCGACGTCCGTGATGAGAATTCGACAATAACAGCAGACGAAGCTGTCAGGGAGGGCGCGTTGCTGTTACTTTGTTGTCATCGTCAGACTGGAATCCGCAGCAGACATTTTGTCGTTTCAATCGATTCTCGCTTCTCACGGCTTCGCGCGCAAACTCAATTCTGCCTATCGTCTTCACTAAAAATGTTCACTTCAAACAATGAATTGTTTAGCACAGGGGTGCTCAAACTTGAACTGCTGGCGATCTACCTCAATATTTTTAGACTACTTACGATCGACTCTGAGAGGCTGCAAGTGTGTGTGATGCAGTGTTGTCGTACATACACGATACACCCTACCTACGTAGGTAGGGTGTACCGTAGCAAATATAGATATTAGCTTTCTGCACAATATAGGTACATTATTTTAGTCAAGGTTTGGGTTAGGTTTAGTTAGGTTCTTCTCTACAATATCAATGAAAAAACTCATAGTTATTCAAAATTGCGAGTTTATTGGTTGTTACAAAACAAAAGAGTTACATATGGTGTTAAACTTAACTAAGGAGTGGCTTTGGATGTTGAAGCGTGGCACTGCATGTCCTCAGCATACTTTTCATAAGATGGTACGTAACCACTGAGTGCTAATCGCAAGCATGATGACA